AAGTATACTTTGTTGTAATCATGTTGTAGAAGATTATTTTACTTTAATGCTATGCTCAAAAGAAGTGCATATTTAGGTTTGCTAATGGTCTCCAATTTTGAGTTACATCGTGCGGTAAGGTAGTCTATGACGACCAACTGACGATACGTTCACAGCAGTAATGTGTTGGATCTGGGTGAATTCCACTGACACTTATATGACAGGGAGTTGAATCATTTGAGTTGGATTTATGCTAACCTAGGCGATAACCAGGTAAATGAACCGTTTGACCGCAGACCCTCAAAAGCCTTATGGTTGTCGTTTTTATTTACCTCATATCAGAACGGATTGCCCTTAGAAGACTAGACCAGAAAAAATTTATGTTTATGAACGTGCGAGGATATTAATTGACGTGGCTTTGCGAAGGTGCTAACCCCAGGGGAATAATTCGATCTCAGGGAAGGTCGTCTTTGCGGCCAAAGTTCGCATAGACATGTCAGCCGTCAGTTAACACGTTACTTGCTTTCTCATTTATCGTGGTATGATTAAAAACAACCTATCGATACAGATATTAGAGCATGAGTCCTGAAAATTGCCGCCGGTGTGATTTCTGTGGCATTCAAATATTTGGATCAATCGAAATCAAAACGGGAGATAATTGAGTTTTAACTCAACTAATAACCGGATTGGTCTACCCGATGAAACTTAAGAAGCAGTCGCCTCACCTCATCAGGAAGAGGATCCCAGGCAAGACCTGAAATCTCCACATCTTTTATTATTCAATGGGGCGATTGTGAAAAAAGTCGAAACGCCAGATGTGGATATTTCCCTCAGAGCTCGAGGCTTATTCCTCCATGACGATATGTTTAGATAACGCCTACAACAATTAGTTGTTTCCGCTTTTACCACGCATAATTCCCTGCCCAAGTGTACGCACGATTATTCATGCATCTTTACTAGTGGGGAATGCATATCTCTCATAATTAGCCTCTGCAAAAATGACTTTCTAGTAACAAATTGACAGTGAATTGTCAGAAATCTGTATGATTTTTTAATTATAAAATAAGCGATTTCATTATGGTTCCTAAAACCTTCTAAATGCGCTTTCAAGTGCGCAATGCCCTAAAAAGCAATCTGAATAGTTATACTTCTTCGCATACTGCAGTACGTCACGAAGAGTACTCTTAGTTTTTTCCTGAGGAGTACATTCTCATAGTATCGAGAAGTCCGCAACGGTAACTGACCTAAAGACACATTATGGTGCGTTCCTACCACCTTAAAATACTCGCTGGATGTACATTTGAAATGCGTCAAACGTGTGACTTATAACGCGTTCAGCTCATTTGAATTCAGTTTATTAAAGGCGAGAGGAAGGCGTAGATCTCTGAATCCCTTACCTGTCCAGATTACAAATAATGGCCAACACACATGGGGAGGTAAAAGAACGGCAACATGTTGGTGTACGTGAGTCCTCTGGAACAGTTGCGTTTCAACCGTAATCATAGTTGCTACTGACGGAATCTTAGCAACATGGAAACTGTTGCAGAACTATGCACACGAAGGATATTAAGCGGTGGGCTTTAGACCCACAATGTGATGTTCAAGGTCCTTCTTGGATACTCTTACACTTGTTCACATTACAATGCCCTCCAACAGAGCGTTCACGCCTCTACGACCCTGCGCGAGAAGAAATTCGAGACATTTATCCACGACCCACCCAAGTGCAGTTTGAAGAGACGTCCGTCTGAGCTGGTTGTGATGGAACATCTTGAAGAAATGCTCACAAGCAGAGCAGTACTCCGGGCATCGGGTAATGTGAAACGTCAGTATAAGGTCCCTCGTATTTGTCTATAACATGGAGGGCGAATATTCAGATTTGAAAGTCGTTTCCCGCACAGCAAAAAACCTAGTCCTCGAACAAGCTTAGTGGCACGTCGTTGGACCTCTTCGAGAGCAGTGTTGTCTTTCATAACCCACGGTTTTCGTGCCTTCACAGCGTACTCCAGCTGTGGTTGCACAACCTTATTGTCTGCTTTAATAAAGCACTTCTCGTCAAAGCTTGCAAAGGCGCGCTTGGGGAGAAACAGCGTTGGCATCGCGGAACTCTTGACATCTGAGCAGTGTATTGATGGACTTGGCGTATCTGTGATCCACGCGCCTAAGTCCCTTTTGGCTTCTACTTCCTAAAGCGGTCTGTCATTTAGTATATTCTGTTGTCGCGGGTATAACGTTTGCCGATCAGAGGGGGGTGACACTTGCCCACATTGAATGGTAGTAGCCACTTTCTCAACCATTGTTCGGGCCGGCGCTTCCGCTTCGTTTTTATTAGTGCGCAAAAGCTCGATATAATCTGAAAATATAACGGTTTTACAGTTTAGCTGCCGAGCGCAAGACCGACCAAGAAGTTCTATATCCATGTCAGGAGCTTCCGCTCACATCTCACCCGGTGTAGCCTGTACAGAACACGCTGATGCAGTACACTATTGGAGGCCCTTTTTAAAGTGGATGAAAGCAACATGCACAATATGGTCAACGCCTATTACTGGAGTCTAATGCTTTAATGTGTACATCAGGTTTTTCAAGCAGGAACTTCCTCCGGGAAATCCATGCTGCCTGTGAGAGGGAAGATGATGTTCCAAGAACTAGGTCATTTATTCTGCTTTCACTATCCGACTCACTAAATTATCACCCCAAATATTTAAAAGATCCTTAACGTCATGATATTATACAGTAGAAAGTATTGACAGTGTTCAGACTACCATCTTCTTGGCTCATTAATGTCCCTGATACACGTCTATCCATCCAGACTCCGATGCTAAATGTGCAGACTAACATCTGAGCCACTGCAACAAGTGTCCACTTACCGTCTAAGGATGGGAATGAATGATCAATTAGAAGAAGCCTCTCCTAAGGCGTGTGGGGACGGCTTTCACGCCAAGCCTGACAGGGACGGAAAATGATATCGCGTCTGACTTAGCAACACCAGACTATAGCCGATACGGGTTTCGCACGACTGTCAATCAAGCCTGAAAAGGTCTTACATTGCAAATCAATTTCCTTTGCCTTTGGCTGAAAACAGCGTGAGTGACCCCTGAATCCCTCCCACTGGCTTCTATTAGCACTGTATTCTACCGTCATTGATCTCACAGAGGATACCCCGAGTCCAGTAAGGCCTGTTGGTTATCTAGGCCTCCCAGGCGGGTCATCAGCAATGCGCTGTCCTGAGGTGCACCTACAGTGGGTCGCGCATGAGATGAGCTGAACCAACGCGGGGGCCAGATCAGGGCGCGGCAGGCGTTATTGGGCTTCGTACCCACAACAAATGCAATACATGAGGTATGGTGGCGCACATAGGCGCAGGCTCACGCCACACCAGCCACCCGCGCCCGATCTCGCCTCCGGTCCTAATGACTGTCTTGATATTGGGTCCGAGAGGACGAGGGAATGCGGCAGATGCATCGTAAGCCCACAATCGCTACAAATTCACGCGCAGGCCACCGTTCCTGCGTCCATCATGCCGTGGGACACATGGGGAGCATCGTCAGCAACTACGGTCGGACTGCCATGCATCCTGAAAATGTGGGTGTCGCTGTGGTAGTTAGATCACTCCGATGCAACAGGTTTGCTGCGGTCCAGACAAACACACAAAACAACCGACGTGAACTTGCAAATCGATTCCGTCAGAATAATGAACCCTTCCGGAATCGCACACGAACTGACCCCCTCGATCACGGTAGATGCAGTAGCTCTTGAGCTGTAGACTCACTCTCATTGTGTGTCAAAACCTCCGTGGAGTCTTCAGGATGTAAAGAAAGTGAATTGAAAAAAGGATCTGACAGACAAGTGCGGACTTTCTTGGACGCAGTCTATGCCTCTGGCATCAGCGGGGAAACGGCCAATGGAGGACATGACGCTCAAATCAAAATTATTTCACTTGGAGGCGACGAGTGGCCTATGATCTCAGACGATATCCGCCGCCCGGGTGATTAGTGGACTATGTTCGAAGTCAATTCAGAAAGACCACCCCTGCGATCACGCCTTCAACGAGACAGAATACAAAGGGTTGACAAAGAAACCGATAAACTGAAATTTCAGACATCGGATCTGCGTAATACATCAGGCTCAAGGTGAAGCGTCTCAGGACGTTATTTTATACGAGTCTAGCGCCGACTGGCTGGAGCGTCAAAGCAGCAAACTGGACTCTATGGCACGTTAAAACCCGAACTCGTGGTCTACGTGGTTGCATAACCGGTTAGATTCCGTGCTTTACCGCCAGCAATCTGAACGACAATGCTGCAAAAAAGCTTCGCGGCCATCCGTAAAGATAATTAAGGTTTACGAAATTTAAACAGACTTCGAGTGAAAAGTAGACCTCTGATCTCCCTTCTTCGGGCGTTGGCAACAATCGGACACGGTATGTCACCACACAAGAATCCGGGCCCGGTATTCTCGTCAATTGGGGAAAAATTCCAAAGGTCGGCTATTTTAAGGCCTGGTGCGAAGTGTCTCGGCTGGAACTGCAGCTTTTGAACGAAGAAGACAGTGCTTCGCAGCAAATAAATAAGCAAATTTCTCAAAAGTATTGCGGTCTCAGAAATATTTAACTTCCCAAGGATGTCATACGCCACGGATTGATAAGACACCAGGGTCTCCTTCCAAGCTCATTGCTTCAAAAGTAACACTGGCTCTTTTCTAATTTTAGGAAGGATTCGCAAAAAACGAAGAAGATGAGGAATGAAGTACCCCAACGATTAAGGAGAAAATTACCGGCTTTATTACTGTTGTCAGGTCCAACAACTAATTTACCTTGTCTCAAATGTGGAAGCCGCTGCAACTACTTTTGAATGTTTCCGACGTCTACCACTGCAGATCACGTATCTTTGTTAGTACCTTGTGCAAGAATCGTCTGTGCTTTGACTATAGTCATTCTTTCATGGGGAAGCAGCGCACGAGTAGCCCGCAAGTAGTCACTAAGGGGAGGGGAAAAAAGAGTTGTATTTTAATGATAACCAGTAAGTCAGTTAAACAGCATGAACCATACGCTCCTTGTTGATGAGGTGAGTTGTTTGATTAATGAGTGACATGAGCGAATTTATGTTGTGGGACCAATCGTTGAGAACATCAGTTGCCAGCTTCTTTTCGGTAAACCGAACAACCGCGTCCAGTCGGTCAATTTTTGCTTGTACTGTTTTTTTAACCACGAGATTTGACAGATATTTCTCCGCCTCCTAGAAAAACAAAAAACTTAACATGAAACCCTCATCACAACCACACACTGATGCATAAAAAATCAGCGCTCCGTTTAAGTTCAAAAACACAAAAATTTATTAAAATTCAGAATCCATTCAAGTGGACTAGAATACGATTGGAATTTTAGTTGCTACGTTCGTATGCTTTGTTAATAAACGGAAGCGTTGTTTGGAAAAATGCAGAAGACCTCAAGGCAGAAGACGAGCATTCGTGACTAATTGTGAAAGGTGGCCATTTAACCTGAAGACGTCAGGTAATAACCCACCCGGGAAATGAAGTCCTCATTAACAAATTACTAAGCTGTAATAAGTGGACAGTCCTAACTTTGAGGTCAGTTGGCGATGAGAGTCATGCAGGTGGGCTGTTTAAACTAAAACATGAGAAAGTAGGTGAAGTGCTGAAATTTATGGTGAGTCGGCCCACTCAAAATAGACGAGAGCGGGAGACGTGGAGATTCAATGCAATAAGATCATCGTCTATAAAATGGACATGTACTCAATTGGCTTATTTGAGTCAGAGGAGTTATCCGGGACAACAATTTGTCCGTTAGCCTAGCCACTAGCTACCGGCCACGTCCACAGGCGCGGATAGTGGAACGACCTTCAGCGAAGGTTGGCTGCGAAATAAGTAAGCTCTCGGGCCTGGCGCTGACCAGCGACGCAGGGAGCGGAGCGGTGAGGTCAGGCAAGCCGACTACCTTATAAAATGCCACAAAGCCCGACGAAGGTTCTGTCACATGGTGACCGTGAACCGTCATTAAATAAGCTTGCTCGTCACTGATGTCTTCCGACTAGGTTTTTGGGCCAAGGTGCTATAGGAAGCAACCTCGAATAAACCATCTGGGCGGCTGTTGGGGACCTGCTTGTACTCAAAATCCCAAAGAAACCGCATGAAAATGTCTGACTACAGTATTACGATTCATGCTACGGCGTCTATGGGGACTGAAGCGTTCGCAAACCTGGTCCAGTAGTTCGGATGAATGGTATGCGAGCTGAACTACTCAACCGAGAACAGAGTCTCAGTACTGGATGCTGGAATGTGCGAAATTTTCTGGACACTGGCAACCGAAGTCTGATGGCGTGCAGTCTTCACCAGTACAACATGGATGCCGGCTGCCTGCCTGAAGTCTGAATCCCCGACTCAGGAGTTGGGGCAATAAAGGCCCCTGGAGTCATGTCCCACTTCACCCTGTGCCACAGAGGCCCACGCGACCCTTCTGGTAGATACGGTGTGGCAATCGCCCTCTCTCAACAAGCAATCTGTGCACTACTTGCATGGGAATAAGTCAATGACCAGATGGCTTACGTGCGACTGAAGGTACACTTAACGAAAATCTCTGTCGTCTCCGTGTACACACCAACATCATCTGCCGAACAGCGCTATAAAGAGACCTTCTACTCACAGCTGTAGAAGTTATTTAAAAGACTCCCTCGTCGTGATCTGCTGGTTGTTGCCGGGAACTGGAATGGCCGCACTGGATCCGGTGATACTCCAAACAGTCACTTTATTGGTTATTTTGGGCTTGGCTCTCGACGCGACAATGGTTGTGGAATGCTGAATGTTGCTGATCAGAACCGACCGTTTGCCCCCAACATGTGCTTCCAGCGTCGCCACAAACATCTGCTGGCGTGATATTTAAACGACGGACACACGCCCATGGATCTGACCATGTTCTCGTTCGCGCACTCCTGAAAGTTCACCTTTCATCTGCAGCCAAATGTCACGTGCGAGACGCATTGGTGTTGCAAAACTTCAACAACCCAGCACTTTTGAGGCCCTGAGCACAAAAATCCGGCCCCGTTTTACGGCCTGAGCCGACGGAAAAGACAGTAGTCGATGGTCATTACTAAAATCACCAGTCTATGGGATAGCTGAGGAAATTCTTGGATTTACCCAGCGGCGTCGCAGTGACTGCGTCAGCAGAAGAACCCTGCAGTTGTCTGCCCAGGCGGCTCCTGCCAGGTCCAACAATGATGCTGCTTTCCGCCAACTCCAGAAAATGACAGCAAAGTCAGCTGGGGATGACTGGCAGAAATACTGGACTAAAACAGCGTCCTCCATGGAACAGGCCTCAAACGTTGGTGGCGTACAAAAACTCCACCCTCGACACTTATTGACTCTGGTCGCGATATGAACGGCGGCTTTGTTGTTGAAAACTCCGTTAAGATAGATCGCTGTCGTGAACACTTCGAGCACCTTAACAACTTTGATGAGCAAATCATCACACCCTCGCTCTCCTCTGAGGCAGTGTTTTATCCCTCTTCTGTCTGTGCAGTGTCATTAGACTCCTGTTCTGAGGGAGAAGTTGCCGATGCAGTACAGAGGTTGCACAACAATATGGCGCCCAAAGGACGGTATTCTCGCTGAAATCTACAATTTTTGTGCCGACACTAGCGCCCTGGCTCCATAAGGTGATTGAACAAGCGTGGAGAGATGCAGTTTTTAATAACTGGGGAACGGACATCCTTGTGCCGACATTCGTTCGAAATCCGATCTTGTCCTCGACAGGGTTGCACTCTGTCGCCCATTCCGTACAACCACCTCATTGACTGGATTCTCGGAAGGATCCTACACGGTTTCATGAGTGTAGAATTTGCACCCGAAACCGATTGACGGATTTAGACTATGCCAACGATATCGTCTTGCTAGTTCCAGATTTGGTGATCTGCAGTCTGTGGTGTCATGGGTGAACGACGTCAGCACCTCGACTGGTTTATCCATAAACGCTGGGAAAACCAAGTTGTTTTCCAGCTGCATCCCTGATCAGAAGGCACCCCTCTGGATCAAAGGCTGTCATTTTGAAGTAGGCACTTTCAAATACCTCGGAGCGAGACTGTTGCTCAATGGACAAAGTAAGGGCGACATTGTCTCCCCAATCGATGCTGTTTAGGGGGTTTTTTCAATGTCTAGAAAGTGCTTATGAACCAGACGCGACATCTCGATCGTCACGAAGATCTTCGAGTACCGTGCCTGCATCTGCTCGGCCTTTATTTAAAACTGTGAATGTTATGTGCAGTGCGTGGAAGATAAGCGAAGGCTGGAAATATTTGACCACCCTCGCCTGAGGACCATCCTTTGAGTGAAGTACGCCAAATTCGTCCTAAATGGTGCAGTCTGCACGCTCTGCGACAAGATCGCGGATCATTCAAGAAAGGCGACTGAGATGGTTTGTGTACGTTCACCGCCGTCCGCCTCACGGACTCAGTTGTACTGCTCTCGATCCGGCGTCGTTGCCCATTTGAAGGCGTCGGAGAGGTCAACTGAAGACCTGGCTCGACAAGGTTCATCAAGACATGGGAGAGGTTCGTTGACCCTTAGTATTCAGTCTCCGTCGCTTGGAAAAAAATTGGATCTGGCTGTCCAGATCCACTGCCACAAATCTTCACGCGTGATATTACCGAAGCCGGCTAGATGAGGCAAGATCCCAGCCGCATCAAGTACAAGTAAGATAACGACTATGCCGCAAGATCTATCGCAGGCTCGTAAGATAAAATGAAAAAAAAAACTAAGAAGTAGCACCTTGGTTCCCTTTTGGACTTAAACAAAGGACAATTGGCAAGAGTAACTGTCTGAATATATTTTTAACGGCGATGTAGGGAAATTCCCAGCTGCTTTTGAACGAGCGGATGGGCTCTTCTTAATAGTGTTAAGAAAATGAATGAACGCGGCTCAAGCCAGAGAGGATGGGCTCCTACTGGTCAAGGCTGATTGATCGTACCCAAAAAGTAGTAACCAAAGGAGATTGCTCAAAAACATCTGGAATACTCACTTAGAATGGAAAATAGTACAGGGCGAGCCAACTGCAAACCTTGAAGCGCTTATCCCGTACGGCCTTTTAACCCGTGTTGTGCCCTTGCCGTCCCGTAAAAGGCTTTCAGTACCGAGGGAAATAGACGGAAATGCGGCTTTGATACGTGGGAGTATCTGCCATACTATACTCCGGGCCAAAAGTGGCATTAAGCTTTCGAAAACGATCGAGACGGCCATCGAATTGCTTAAAACGGCAAAAAATCGGCGTCCCTAACTCGTTCCTGATATTTGCCCCTCTAATTTGCAACCTAACAACTCAGACGTCCAGTAGGGCCTTCTGTGTATTCCGAATCATAGTGTCGTCACTTGGGTGTGATTAGGGTTGTCATCGAGTATGTATCAAAATAAACCAAGTCGTAAGTGCTAGTATGTATGCATACCACTCTTAAATATAACAGAGAGAATAAAAGGTAACTGCACAATGAGTGTATGGGAGTGTATGAAATGTGGTAAGTCAAATAGACTTAAACGACTTAAGCAAGATGTCACAGAATAGTGCACATGTCACAAACTGGGCATGCATTTACTACGCAGTCTCGTCTTTTGTGTTCTCAAAACATTACATCCAAAAAACTACTTCAAATCTCTTAATCCACTGTTCGTGTAAGTACAGTTCCATGAAGTTGGTATTCCTAACTTGCGCTCAAAAACATATTCGCATTAGTCTTCTACTCTACTAATATCACGGCAGCACTGGCTTTATACTTCCCTTAAGTTGCCTGGGCGGAAATGACTAATAAAGGGTGAGGCAAGTTACCGTTACTTTGTTGCTCAAATGTCACGAAAAAGGACTAATCGCAACAGGCCGCATGTGCTTATCCTCGTAAGTTAATGCGGCAGACAGAGAGTGCAAACAGAAATACAGGAATCGAAAGCGATTGGACACCAGTGTAAGAAATCGTCAGACTACTTTTTTGGTGGGCGCTGCGCGGCGCTGCAATTTTGTTAGTGGTCTATAAAAAAACAGTAAAGTTTGCATTAAAGGTTTCCCAGGACTGATGATCTTTCCTACCATATGTGTAAACCATTTAACCAAACGTCCACCACTTACGTAGTCGACTCCTCGAAAACACTTTGGATAACGAAAAAATTGGTCAGAAATGCCCGTCACCGTTCCTTCTCTGATTGGCTATCAGCCAATAGAGAATTATTGGGAACTGAACACGCCCCGAAAGACTTGTACCAGAGTGATAAAAAGGTGTACTTAAATATGCAGGAAAATCAAAAATGACGGAAATGTCAAGCACCATTTCAGCACGTCATGGTTTGTATAAAATGCCACTTTAATGACAGCATAGTAATACACGAAGGACTTACGTCAACATCGAGTTTAAGCAATTCAGCGAGACGAGCGAGTCTTATCTGCGTGTAGTATGCGGAAATAACGCGGATATTGTGTTCAGTGACGCGAGCCTGGAGGGCCTTAAGGGCGTGCTCGGGACCTTTTGAACCATTCAAAACAGAAAATGCCTCCGTTTCGTTTCGCAAAGTCACTTCGTGCTTTTCACAAAATTCGTCCCACTGCAGAAGTTCTTGAGTCGTAAAGGCCTTCAGCATACACCTATGGCAGGATGGCGAAGCTGTTAAGTAGGAAACTCCACAAAAGATAAGGAGCAACGAATTGCCAGATTGCGACATTAAAAAATAACTTTGGGACAGATGGAAAAAGAAAACCTACACATATTCGGGAAGGGCCTCTAGGTCACGTAATGTCATCCAGCGATGCATTAAGTCGTGCTGCTCGTTGTCATATGGTGAAAGGATAAGATACACAACCAGATTGCGCAAAGTCTAGGATGGTAAAAAAACAGAAAGAAAATCCCACCTTCTGCTTTTCAGAATCGTCTCCCTTGACAATCTTTGTGTTGTACATTTCCCAATAGTGTTTGCTTATCGACAAATATGAATCATTCTGTAAGTCAACCATAACCATTTGCCTATAAAACTTGAGTTTCAGGTCCTCAGTCCCTTCCTCCTGGAAAAATTTAGGCGAAATCTTCTTGCTCAGTATTTGAGTTCTAATGAAATCCCTTTTAGCCAGACAGAGTCGCATTTGTTCAAGGATAAATTCGACTTTTTCACGCTTCTCCATGGAACCAAAAGTTTCGACCTGGATTTCCTGCAGTATGTCGGCAGCCTCATCAATAGCTCCCTTGGATTCCTTGATATCAGCGAGCAGCCGCGTGAGTCTTGCCCGTTCAACTTCGACGTAGATCTATAACGGTTTGTAATCAGAAGTGAGGTACCTTCCCTTCAGTAACAGTTCGCAAAGTACCGATTAACCCCAACTTAACCGGTTCGTTGGGTGTTTTATCTAAATAATTCATTGCTGCCTGGACCATTTTAGTGACAGCTTGTTTTAGCTGATTTCGCTTCTTTGACATCAAGACGAGGTACTCATTTAGTTTGTCCCATTGATTTGCCTCCGCAAGGATTTCTACTATGCAAGTAAGTAGACGGCCCGTAGAAATGGCATCCGAGGCCTTAAGGGGGTGTAAAATTATGGGTCATACGTACGACTCGTGTTTGCTTCTCGAGAACGGAGCACTTCTCAAGCGCTTCATCTATTTTGCCATCCTACATAGATATAATGTATAAAATATAGAATACTGAAGCGAGCGACTTGAAAATTGGAATCTTCTCGTCGACGGTGGCTGAAAAATCCACCTCCATCTTCTCCAGTGCCATTGCTGAATCGGTGGTAGGGCGGATATACGGGCGACGAGAACACCACAAGATGATATTTTAGGGTCCTGTTGCTCCGATTTGTGATGAGCGATACGGATACTCATACCCAAAACAATTTCGAATTCCTGCTGTGCAAAGATATGAATGTAATAACCTAGACCTAAAGAGAAGGACCGATAGTGTCCTGTAGGATGTTAACGAGCCCAGTGGGACAGGGATTGCAAAAAGTACTTCGGAGAGAGGCTTCAGTTCAAAAGTCCGATGAGTTAACAGGTCACAAGTTCAAATAAGGCAAAATTCTGCATTACCGCCCCCGAGTACTAGGAATTCTTACAAGTTTAATATTCTTCCACTAGAAGTGGGTAGTGTAGTAAACTCAAGTTCGAAGCAGCAGGGCCAACAGCAAATACAGCATGCGGGTTATGACCGACAAGAAAACAGAGAGACAGTTCGACCATCCATTTCAGGGAACGAGGCAAGGTTCCTTCCTACCTCCACAGAAGGACCGCCGACCCCAAGCACCAGTAATATACTTTGGAAGATTTTTTCGCAAAGATATCGTATTCTGTGAGAGTCACGATGCATGAACGTAAAAAATCGAAAAAAGTTAGCATTTCTGATTAAGCATCCCAGGAAGCGATACTACACACAAAAGAAGGAAATGTGAGCAGACACGGAAGTTTTATGGCGGCGTCCTAAATTCCCGGTGACCCTTTCTCAGTGTCATAAAGGAAGTTGGCCGGCAAGGCTGAGGAAAATAGAAGTTTAATCGAGTCAGTATTCAGATAAAGGCGTAGCCTTCTCTTAGGAGCGTGTGGATTATTTATATATCGTATATTTATTGGAAGGCTATTCCAGAGGAAAGTATACCTGGAAACGAAAAAACAGAGCACTTAGAGGTGGAGGAATCGGGGAGAGTTTTAATCAAGGAAGAATTGCGAAGACTGTAAGGGCTGCAGTTCGAGGAAGATTGGAACTATCATTAATGCGAAAGAGGAGACATAAGCCTGCTTCTAGTCTTCGAACCCATAAAAATCTTAGGTTACTTGGCTGGCATGTATCTGAGTAGCAGATATTTGGATGTTCCATGCCTAAAAGTTTTCTAGTAAAACGTCGTTGGACATTTCCAATTTTTAAACGACTAGCCTTATTCACCAAATCAAAGACTGGGCGACAATACTCAAGAATGTGAAGTACAAACATACGATAGGGTCCTAATTTAATCTCAGGAAGATAGAAATTGCAAGAAATAAAGCCACAAATCTGGGCAACTTTGGCTGTAATTCTGTCAGCTTGTAACGAGAGATCAAGATTATTAGTGTAGCTTTCACCTCAATTCTTGATGGTAATAGATTCAGTCATAGGTGTGCCTTGGAGGACCACTGGTTGGGATAGCCTCTCAGGTCCAAAACACATATAGCGACATTTAGACGGAGAGAATTCTCTTAGCCATTTTGAGCTCTAAGCTGAGAGAGCAAGCAAGTCGGAATGGATTTGAGCCAGGCAATGAAGGCTCGTAGACTTACTGAAAGAATATACACATTTGAGATCACCGGCAAAAATAAATCATTGAGAATGTTTGACTTTTACCGAGATATTATTTATTTAAAGCAGGAACAAAAGATGACCTACAACGGTACATTGTAGGACACCACTTGAAATAGGGCTTTCACTGAAAAGTGAACATCCCACTAAAACAGTTTGTTTGTGATTAGACACGTATGACTTGATAAAGTCTATTGGGTGACTGCGAATTCCTAGAGCTTCTAATTTAACTAAGAGTATTTTATGTGGCACTTTACCAAAGGCTTTACTATGACCAAAATAAATAACGACAAACCTCGAGGTCAGGGCGCGCAGCTCAATTTCAAAGATAAGTGAAGCTCTGCATTTATCTGGATATTCTTAAGTAATTAATGCCTGTTTTTTACTTGAGTCCGTTTTAAAAGTCGCCTTTCTATATAAGGTAAAAATTTTTCCCAGTTTGTTTGACAGTCTGGCAAAATAGTCGTCTTTTGTAAAAAATCCATTGTAGTGAATCCTTTCCCTACTACCGCTTTCTAGTTTTCGTAGTTAAAAAAACAGTAATACTTGCTACTCAGTGCACGTTTCCGTACGTTGGCAACTTTTTGATCCTTCTCCTGTAACGAAAAACTTTTTTTTGTCTGTAATGCCCCGCAGATCACGTGTTAAAAGGCGAAAGCTTGCGGCCTCCCCACCGTCTCTGGGTGCTAAAATCGTGACTGAAGACATGGCAGACGCCAGCGTATGTTCTTCGCCGTCTGCAGATCTGATTAACTCATAAATCCCTTTAGTACATGTAGAACCTCTCGACCCTTCAGTCGTCCAAAAATACGCCTCTGCTAGTCGTAGCAGACCATCAGCCGGCGAAATAATCGATCAGCTGATTTATGGAGACATAAACAGCACTTCTGAAAAAGTAATTGGACAAGCTTTTAAACTTATTGGAGTAATAAGTTCGGAAACTGAGGAATGAATAAAACGCAAGCATAATTTCGTACTGCGAAACATTCCGAGCCACTTATCTGCTATGGAGGGAGCGCATTTGTTCCTACAAAGTTGTGGCTTGAATTTCAGCGTCGCACAAGCTAAGCGACTTCGCTCGCTTAGCCGTAATGCGCCGATACTAGTTACCCTTTTCTCCATGATAGAAGTCGATTTTATCTTGTCGAGTAGGGAGATGACTAGAGACTTCTGCCGTAAATGGCGCTGCTCCGTTTCGCCAGACCTCACACCCCTGCAGCGAAGACTGAATAAACTAAAATCGGCAAAAACCAACACCAAGATAATGACACCTACTGTCAGTCTGAATATGTCCTCTACAACACCACCTGCGGCATCTGCAAGTCACGGAATAGTCAATTCCGTAGGGAGTTCGACTACTTTTAATGCTGACCTCTTTAAACACACCACCACGCCTGGTATAAACACGACTCCCTCAGCAACCCCTAGTAAGCCTAAGCATGTGTCTAAGTCAAAGGCAAGTCCAATTGTTGTCTCAGCCACTCGGACACCCAATAAATCCAGCACCATTATAAAATCTTTTCCTCCACAATCGACTAACAGTGCTTCAAATACCTCGACTCAAAACGTAGCGGGTTCGAAACTGCCCCCCAGCCCTCATATCGAGGCAGTTAGGCCGAATATGCCGATTTTCCCACCGTTTAATAGACCTCTTGTTCCAATGGAAACAATGCGTCCCCCACCCCCTAACTTGTTTCCTCCACGGCCGTTTTACCAATTTATTCCTCATGATAATGTCCATACTGAATCAGTTAATTCATCCGATCCTCAGTTTCGTCCCGGCGGGAATACGGTGCAGTATCTGTCCCGCGGATTTCCAGCTGAATATAAGTTAGCTAACAATAGTTACCAGTTTACCTGCCCGTCATTCCCTCCCCCAATTCCTACCCCTTTTTATCCACGTCAGAATTCTTTGATGCCACAAAATTTGTTGCAGAACCGGATGGTTGCATCCGGACCGTTTGCTCCGTGGGCGACCCAGAACTGGACGATGTAGCCCACCTCCCTCAAAAACTAACAGCCTTTCCCTTCAAACTTTTTGTTTTAAATGCCAGATCCTTGCTTAATTAGATGCCTTTGCTTCAGACTCAGGTGTTCGTCCATTGTCATGATATTGTTTTAGTAACTGAGACGTGGGCATCAGCCTCAGTAGCTGACTCCGAACTCTCTCTTCTAGGCTACAATTGCATTCGAAATTATCGTCAAGATAGCCGTGGTGGGGGCAGCTGCGTCTACGTTAAGCAAACACTTACATGTTTGCCGTTGGACCTCCCGCACTTTTCCGCAGTAGAAGGCAGCTGTTGGCTCCAGGTTGCACTAAAAAATAAGTTCTACTTACTCATTGGCTGCGTCTATCGCCCTCCCAACGCCAATGACAACTTTGATCGTTTACTCTCACAGGCATTTCATGCTGCGGCCGACTTAAGCTTTAAGTATCAACTGGTTGCGGGTGACTTTAATCTCCCTGAATTCCGCTGGTCTCCGCCTTCAGGCCCCAGAAGGTTCGATGACTTTCTTGAGGCTGTGGATGTTGGGATGTGGAATCAGGTTGTCGATTTTCCCACCCGAGGCTCAAGTATACTTGACCTAATTTTCTGTAGAGGCTGCTTGCCATCGTCAGTGTCATCCCTAGGCCCACTCGGGGGCTCAGACCATGACATAGTTGTTTCAACGTTGGACTTCGAGGCTGACGAAATGTCGTCCCAAAAGGATAACTTTTTCCGCGATTTCCGATCAACACGCTCAACCGAATTATTAACATACCTCTATTACTACGACTGGACTGATTTCTTCCCTTACTTCGGATGTAAATATTTGCACTGCAAAATTGTACGAAATTTTGGATCCGCTTATTTCTCGTTTTTTCCTCCGTAAGAAAATTATTAATGTTGGGGATGAGATTTTCCTACCTTTACCCTTTCGTCGCAGATTGCGCAGGCTTTATCGTCGTTTCCATCTGCAGAACGATGTTTCTGTTCTGCCCTTGATTTGTGACATTTTTGATCGAGCTAAGAGATTGTCTGAAGAAAAACAGCTAGCCGAAGAGGTCCAGTTTACCGAAAACAATTCGTTAAGTGTCTCGAAACTTTTCTCTAGAAAAATACGAACTCAGAGAAAGACGCAGTATCCCATCCTTCGAGACGATCTCGGAAATCCCATAGTTGATGCCCAGTTAACCGCGGATAGCTTCAATGATTTCCTGTCCAAAACGTTTATTGAAGACTCGACCACTCCGCTTCCGACCATCCAGTCATTGACCGGGGCAGTTCTAGAAACTATAACTTTCACTCTGTGGGATGACTGCTGCGATTCGGCGTTTTCGTCAGTCTTATAGTCCAGGCCCTGATGGTGTCCTAGTAAGCATTTTAAAAGCCGATGCAAACACGATTTTCCCATACCTCTTATGCAAGATATTTAATCTCGCTATTGAAAGTGAAACTTATCCTACCTTATGG